CGATGCCGCCAGCAACCGGTCAGATGGCGGCAGCCAGTGCAGAGGCAGTGCGGGCTCCCGGGAGACACCGAAGCCGATCTGACGCTGCAGCGGCCGCGTCACATCCCACGAGCCCGACTCCGTCGGGGACAGCCTGAGCAGGGCCCGATGCAGGCGGGAGGCTGCGGGGAGCCCCTTAGTCAGGTTGGCCCGGGGGATGCCCAGGTGCAGGTGGCCGCCTGGTCCAAGTCTCACTGTGGGAGAGAGAGGAAGGCCAGTCACCCACGGGCCTACTGTGTGCCGGGCGTGAGGGTGCCCATTTCCTCCCACAGGCCAGGTTGGATCCCACCCCAGGGCCATTGCATAAACCCCTTCCTCCACCAGCCACACTCTTTCCCTGAATCCCTCCAACCTGCCTAAAATAGGCACCACCCAATTTTGTTTGGTAGGGATTTGTCTGCCTGATCACCACGGTGCATGGCACGCAGTAGGTGCTTAGTCAAATGCTGATGCTGCCTCCTCCTGGCAGTCAAAAACATTTTCATTGAAGGCCTACTAAGTGCCTGGGGCTAGGGTTTCAGCAACCAGACACTGTTTTCAACTCCTTGGGTCTCAGTTTCCCATCTGAGAAATGAAGGGTACCAGGCTCCCCGGGATTCGCAGACCCCCAGCTGGTACAGGTGTTGGGGCTACTACAGAGACTGGCGTTTGAGTTGCTGCATGAGCACCACCGGTTTGTTAGACTAAAAGGGGGAGAGGTTTACCTGGAGTCTCACAGCACCAGTGGGATTAGGGAGGGATAAAATCACCTCTTCTGGTTTGACACCCTCTCCCCAGCCCCTCCCAGTTCCTAGCGCAGGCCAGATCTTCTGCCCTCTCCACCTCCTGGAGTCTCCTCGGAAAATACTCCCCTCCTTTCAGGGCACCTAGCACATGCCACTTCAGCAGTGCCTGGCAGCGAGACTGCATCAGATTCAGAACCAGTCCCGGTGGGTTCTTCCCCTCATTGTGCACGAAGTCCCGCCTGCTCCCCTTCCCATCCCCCGCCCTGCCCCTGCATCCACCCTCTAGGATCCCACCCGCCCTCAACCCCAGCTACATTCAAGGACAGGGACCACGCACCATGCCCGACCTCATCTCAGGGCTCTCCAGGCTAGGTGAGCCTTCAGGAGAGTCGCTGGCTTCTCTCGGCCTCAGTTTCCCCATCTGCTATCCGGGGAGACGTAATTCTCCTCTCCCACGTTGGCTAAGCTTGTCCTGATGCAAACAGGAACGCTAGCTCCCCAATCAGCCCCGAGGAGGGACGTGTTTGTCCGGCTCACAGATGGGGAAACTGAGGCCCAGCGTCATGCTCTATAACTCAGAACCCCTGGTTAGATGATAGAAGCTGCTTGGGTTGGGGGGGGGTGTATTCGAGATTTCACTCACGCTTTGGGGTGAGTATCTGGACGTGAGAGGCAGGGATGAGGTCAGGGTTCGAGTCTTCCCATGTCTGGTTTGCTCGAAGCCTGGTCAGCAAATCTTCGTAGCGTTTCCTCAGCTCCTGGGATCTGGAGATATTCGGACTGGAGTGTGCGTGTGAGGGTTCCGGGAGGACCGGGAGGTGCTCCTGGGCAAGAGATAGGGCGCCCCCCGACGGCAGCCAGGAGAGCGTCAGCAGCATCAACAGCATCAGGGCAGCGCGGTGTCCTGGGGCCCTGCCCGGGCAAAGCTGTGCTCCTTGTGCTCTGAGCTGTGACTGACCGGACGCTGCTGCCAGACCTTTATATTCCCCGGACTTTGTCCGCCCCCGCCCGCCTGGTCCAGCCGACACAGTAAACACTCCAGGGACCACAGCTGGGCAGGGTCTGTGGCTGCTTTCCTGGGGGAGAAGCTGGCGGGTGGTGCTCCTGGGGAAGCTGGGGCCCGGGAGAGCCTCTGAGACACAGTAGTATCTTCCTCTGTGAAATGGGGACATCATCCCAGGTTGGTGGGCTGATGGGAAGAATGATTTTCTTAAAAAAAACACCCCACAACATTATTATGTGCTAAACTCCATAGCAAGAGCGTAAGAAGTGGCCTTCTTTCCTGATGGTGTTTCCTCTCTTCCCTCTCTGGTTAGAACCAAAGGCTGAAGATATTGAAAAGCAAAGCAGCCCTAGCTGGTTCGGCTCAGTGGATAGAGCACCAGCCTGCGGACTGAAGAGTCCAGGTTCAATTCCAGTCAAGGGTTGCGGCTCAATCCCCAATAGGATTGAGGCAGCTGATCAATGACTCTCATCATTGATGTTTCTATCTCTCTCTCCCTCTCCCTTCCTCTCTGAAATCAATAAAAAAATTTTTTTTAAAGAAAGAAAAAGCAGAGGAAAAGGGGCCAGAAAGAGCGAAAAAGTGTTACCTGGGCAAGTCATTTCTCTCCATGACACCTCTGTTTATCATTTGGGAAATAAGGACTGAGACTTTCAATGGAGAGAAGGGTTACATGATGTATAAAGGACACAGTAGGCATATAGTAGGTGCTTCATAAACGGTGTTTTTGTAGTTACTCTTCCTCATCTGGGAAACTCCTACTCATTCTTCAAAACCCTACTCTAAAAGCCCCTCCTCCATTCATTCCCCCAATCCAAGCCTGACCCCCAGCACTGGCAGTGTTGACTCTGTCTGCCCCAGACGTGGGGGTTCCTGGAAGATTTGGGCAGGGATAAAGCCACTCTGGGCAACAGTTCCTTGGCTGAGCCCAGAGAGTAGGTGACAAGGAATTGGAGTGCTGCACTTTAGGGCAGGGAGTGCTGGTGTTAGCCAGCCACCAGATGGTGAAGGGGCAGAAGGTGCCCCAGGCACACCCTTCCTCCTGGGTCACCCAGAACTTCTGGCCCCAGGCATTGGCCCCTGTGCCATGGAGAGGGTGGGCAGCAGTGTGAGACAGATGGTGGGATGTATAAAGTGTGATAGGAGTGTGCAGGCAAGAAGTACAAGGATCAGTGGGGGCCACACAGCCATGTTCCTACGGGGAGAACCGAGTTCAGCCCTCTCTCCCAGCACATACCCCCAGCTGTGCTAGGCCAACCAAGTCTAGCCTCCCCTCCACCCCCCACCTCGCACCCCCCTCGTCAGCCTTAGCTCTGTGCAGTGGAATTATACCAGGCGATAGGAAAGTCCTGAGGTCCCTGTGACCTCCCAGGTAATCTGCAGGTGCTTAGTTAAACACATGTGCTCACCCTAACATCCTCTTGCCCCACCAGCTTGGCACAAAGTACTCAATAAAGGATGTAGGGATGACTAGGCAAGGAGCTAGGGCTCCCTCCCCCCACACACACCAGCCGAGGCCAGGCCCCAGAGTTACTCCAGAGTGCTGAGTCATCCTCACGTGGCAGAGCAAGATCAGCAGGGGGCAGAGAGAGCCAAGCACAGGGGGTGCTGTCCAAGGTGGCAGCCTGCAGATCAATAATGGTGAGACCACAGCATTCACAGGTCTCCAGGCTGCGGGCACCATTCATTTCCATGAATGGATAAGGGAACCAAACCCCAGGGGCACAAGAAGGTACACAGGTTTTAGGGGGTGACTCCACAAAGGGGACCTCACACATGTTTGGCCTTCTACTGGGCCATGTGTTTCCCTGGTATTTCTAGGCCTGGGATAGGACTCTGAAGTCCTCCCCCATCTATTTATGGTTTCCCCCAAATATAAAAGCCTCCTAGAGTTTGCCCTGATCAAGACACATCGGCCTGGACAGCTGTCAGCTCCAGAGAAGCCATTCTGTGCTCACATTCCTGCCCCTCCTCTCCCTGACACTGGGCACAAGGGGAGAGCCTCAGATTCCCCATCTGTAAAAGGTGGTCGCCCTAGTTGGATTGGCTCAGTGGATAGAGTGGGGGCCTGCGGACTAAAGGGTCCTGGGTTCCATTCCGGTCAAGGGTACCTCCCTGGGTTGTGGGCTTGGTCCCCAGTAGGGGGTGTGCAGGTGGCAGGCAATAAATGATTCTCTCTCATCGTTGATGTTTCTATCTCTCTCTTCCTTTCCTCTCTGAAATCAATAAAAATATTAAAGAAAAAAATGGTGGTAACAGAACTCGTGTCAGGGCCGTGGGGAGGACACACAGGGAGTGGGGGTTTTGCACATGCTGGGGGTCAACACTATCATAATTCAAATTCCAGTGCCACCCCCTTGCTCTGGGACTGAGAGGGTCTGTGCTTGGCTCTCCCTGCCCCAGGCTGGGGTTTCTGGAAGGCTGGGGAAAGGAGGAAGCCAGTCTGGGCCCCAGTCCCTTGCTGGGCCCAGAGAGGAGGTGGCAAGGAATTGGGGTGCTGAGGTTTAGGGCACAAAGGGCTGGTGTCAGGACTAGCCACCAGAAGGTGATGGGGCCGGGGGTGCTCCAGGAACCCTTCCCCCTGAGTCACCCGGACCTTCCTCCACCGCTCAGGACTCCGGGCCCCTGGCACTGGTCCCTGTGCCACGGAGAAGATGGGCAGATGGTGGAGGTGTGTAAAGTGTGACAGGGGTGTGCAGGCAAGAGGTAGGGGATCAATGGAGGCCACAGAGCAAGGCTCCCACTGGAAGAACAGGACCCAGCCCCCTTCCCAGCACAAAGCCACTGGCTGCGTAGGCCGGCCAAGACTCCAGCGCCCTTGGGCTCCGCCTCAGCTCCGTGCAGTGGGTTATCACCAGGTAATGGGAGGGGCCTGGGCCAACCCACCTCCCACCTTCATTAAGCCCTGGCTTCTCATCAGGGGCTTCTCCTACCATCTGGGCTACAGCTGGTCAGGAGGTTCAACCAGCCTCTTCTTTCCACTCGGACCCATTCCCTCTCTAGTGATGAGGAAGTGGAGGGGCAGGTAAAGTGGTTAGGGGTGTAGGGATGACCCATCCACGAGACCCTGCATGCTCACACGGCTGTGCAGAGGTCGCATCTGAGTTCCGTCAGAGGCTGAGTTCCTGGGAACACAGAAGCGGGGGCTGTCTGAGGCCATCTCTCTTCAGACAGGAGGCTCCACAGAAATTAACAGGAGAGCCAATATTTGAAAGTGAACTATTCCATGGCCTTTAGTACACTCATGACATTATACAATCATCTTTTCCAGAACTTTTCCATGACCCCCAAAGGAGATCCCATCTGCCTTAGCAGGCACTCCCCAGTCCCCCTGCCCCAGCCCCTAGCAACCACTCGTCTGCTTCCTGTCTGGAATCTGATTTGCCTGTTCTGGACACTTTACATTAAAATATTCTGCACCCAATTTCCAGCGTTGGGAGGTTCCCCACACCAACAATCCTCCCTCACCAGCTGGGTATCCCATAATTCAACCTAGTTCTGACACTTTTTGCCTGGAGACAGCTTCAGATCCCATAGGTTCAGGGCTTTTGGTCCCACATGACTGTCCCCACCCCAACCCTCTCTCCAGATGCCAACTGAACTGCAAGTCCAGGTTGTCACCTGTGCTTCTGGCCCCCTTCTTAGGTTCGATGAGTTTGCTAGAGCAGATCAGAGAACTTCAGAAACCCATTTACTCACTAGAGTACTCATTTATTACAAAGGGTATTAACAGATAAGAATCAACAGCCAGATGAAGAGATGGACGGGACAAGGTGTGGGGAAGGCCATGGAGCTTCCATGTCCTCTCCGAGGCACCACCCTCCCAGCACCTCCACATGTTCACCAACCTGGAAGCTCTTGGAACCCTATCATTCGGGGTTTTATGGAGGCTTCCTGACATAGGCTAGTGGTTGGCAAACTCATTAGTCAACAGAGCCAAATATCAACAGTACAATTGAAATTTCTTTTGAGAGCCAAATTTTTTAAACTTAAACTATATAGGTAGGTACATTGTTATTAACTTAATTAGGGTACTCCTAAGCTGGCCTTTGCTAAAAGGGACCCAGGCTTCCCTCTCTTGCCCTGGCTTTATCTGGAAGGTCGTCCAGCCGGCCAGTCTAATTAGCATAGTATGCTTTTATTATTATAGAATAGAGGCCCAGTGCATGAAATTCATGCATGAGGAGGGGGTCCCTCAGCTCAGCCTGCACCCTCTCACAATCCAGGACCGTTGGCTCCTAACTGCTTGCCTCCCTGATCACCCCTAACCGCCTCTGCCTCAGCCCCCGCTGCCATGGCTTTGTCTGGAAGGGTGTCCAGAATGACGTCCAGAAGGTCATTTGGCTGTCCAGTCTAATTAGCATATTATGCTTTTATTATTATAGATTAACATAGCAAAAGACACCTTTCTCACTCACTTCACAGGGAAACTACAAGGAGTTTAGGAGCTCAGTACCAGAAAGGGGTGGAAGACCAAATATATATTTCATACTGTAAGTCACAATATTTTTTTGCCAGTGAAAATGGTTTCTTGTGGTGTTGTGAGAAAAGAATTTCAAAGCGCACACGCATGGGAGTAGTTTAAGTGTAGTATCAAGACTTATTGGGGTGAAGGGGAATAAGATGCAGGCAGGCTCTAGAGCAGCCATGGGCAAACTACGGCCCGCTGGCCGGATCCGGCCCGTTTGAAATGAATAAAACTAAAAAAAAAAAAGACCGATAAATTCAAAGTAAACATCATTACATAAAAGGGTACAGTCTTTTTTTTCTTTTTAGTTTTATTCATTTTAAACGGGCCGGATCCGGCCCGCGGGCCGTAGTTTGGCCACGGCTGCTCTAGAGCAACTGCTGGGAGATTCCTGATAATCCTCCATATATTTTCTTTCTTCTTCTTTTTTTAAATCCTCACCCCAGGACATTTTCATTGATTTTTAGAGAGAGAGGGAAGAGAGAGAGAGAGAAACATCCAGAATGTATGTGGATGGAAAAGGGGCCACATATGAAACCTGACAAGCTCAGGGGAGGCCTTACAAACTCAGAGACCAGAATGTACTCCACAGCCTCTGCCTTTTTATTGTTAAACTTTGATTGAGATGCAAATGTCTTAAGGAAAAAGGACTAATCTTAATGCTCAGCTCAATGACATTGTACAATGGTATGCCCATGGGACCGCCTCCTGGATGAGGTTCCAGAACATTCCCAGCCCAGGAGCACCCT